TGACATGCAAAACACTCTGAAAGGCCCCATTTGTAGCAGAACCTGTAGTGGCTGGGAACTTCTACCTCTGCATCAATTATAATTTTCCCATTCCTCTGACTTCAGGGCAAGCACATTTTATTGCACATAACTAGTCGTGATCATAATTATAACTTTCAAAAGAGATAAATCCTTGGGAGAAGTCTGATCTTTCTCACTGCTCCTGACACCTTAAACTTGGTTAACTTTGAGCACACAACCCACAAATGTGACATATAAATTGTAGTGATGCTGTGACAATAACAAGATGATTTGTAAGCCCGTTTATTGACGTACGAATTGGTCTCGGTCTTTCTGATGTGCCTTCAAAGTGCACACAGATGTGAGAAATGTCAACTTCACATACTACTGTATCAGGGTAATACACACACACACACACACAAACACACACAACAAGTGCACACGCTGGACACAAATCTAGTGAAGAATAGTAAAGGTTTCATAGTTTTTTGGCTGAACTTGAAATTATGATTTACAAGTATACAATTTAGAGGCATTTTCTCAACAGGCACGAGGCAGGTTGGGGCATTGGATAAACATAAAACCACACTTTTGGCAGAAGACTTGACATTCCTGCACTAAAATCGTTTCACTCTACACCAGGTAAAGCATAAAACTACTGAGACATCAAGGATTTCTGCATAAATAAGTTGCCAAAAGGGAACTGCAGCAGGAAAATAAAAGTTGGAAGGTCTATACTGACTCTATATTTTCATAAGTTTTCTCAACAACTGTTCCTAATATCATTACAGTTAAAGGTATGTAAATTTACCCAACATAATGTAGCCCAAGAAGTTTTTCTTTTGCACATGCCTCACAACAAGAAGGTTTTGGGTTTGATCCCATGCAGATTCTGTCTGTTTCCTTGTGTCTTAATGGGTTTCCTCCAGGTGCTCTGGTACCATCAATACCCACACATGGACCATATGTGAAATCCTCCATCGTCAGTTATCCTGACCAAGCCTGGAGATTGTTTTTATGACGGAGAAGCCGTCATCCCGTGTCTGTGGACTGGGTGGCAGCCAATGTCCCTCCTGGGGACCCCTTGACCCAGAAATAGACAAAGGGGAAGAAAATGGGGAAAATAAAAGAATGGAAATGGTCTTGAACTTTCAAAGATACAAATCATCATCCAGCTCAGTGTATCTACATTTTTGACAATTAACAGAATATCAGATATTTCTGCTATAAAAACATAATTGACTCAATTTGAAAGAAAAAAAGGTAGATGCTTTGATGTCATGTTTAGTTTATTTGATGGGACAGTGTGTATTAATGAACATCAGGTGCTGTAACTACTGTACTGAGGCCTTTGACAAATTAAAATCAGACATTCACCCTGAACAATTGTACATGTTTGTACTGGTCAGGGAAACCAGAGCCCCTGGATGAAACCGACACAGACACAAGGAGAACATGCAAACTCCACAGAGAAAGTCCCCGTCTGGAGGTGGAATTGAGTCCAAGACCTTCTCTCTGCTTTAACCACTGTGCCACTGCACTGACATCACTCTCATCTGTCATGCAACACTGCACACAAAACAACAACTACATTTTATGAAGATTAACCAGTTTTTAGTTAAGAATTGAGTTCATTAACGTCATGAATATAAGTGTAGATATGTTTGACCTTGATCCACCTCATTCTAACACATCAGTAGCAGTGACTTATTTATGACACAATATTGTGTCATGGAGGACATCTGGTGTGAAGCCGAACGCTGCGGTGAGCGAGTGTGTGTTTCACTACACTTTAATTTTGTTACAGTTTATTAAGAAAAAACAAGTACACAGCAGACTTACTAACAATGTGGAATGAAAGCGAGCCAATCCATAGCACAGTAACGGCTCATTGGAGGCTTTTTTCTTTCTTGCCTGGTGTTAAATAACAGCACTTTCTCTCACTATGAAAATGCCATAAACAGTTAAATCATCAGCAGGCCAAAGCTGTTTGCCCTGGCCCACATTCTGCATACACTTAAGGGCTCACTTGGAGCTGCCAGTCAGACAAATGCCCACTAATACACAGGCAAATATTAAATGTGGAAACAGGTCTACAAGCACTGAGAGCAGCCTAACCTCCCTGCGTCCGAGAGAGACAGAACCTATGGCACTTTATGTACGGGCGCATACTGCAGGGGGATTATTAACTTGAAGAACATTGTACAAGGAAAAAAAAAATTGTTTACCGTACTACCTACTCGGGTAAATTAGTTTAACCCTACACTCTAAACCTAACCCTATTACATTTATGGTTTTGCTCCAAACATATGTTCCATATTCAGTTCAATAATAATTCATGTCTTGCTTTTTGGTTTGTTTTCTATACTGTTTTTTTTTTTTAAATAAAGAAACATTATTATTTATTTATTTGAGGAAAACACTTGCATTTCACTGCAGAGGAATGGTTTTTGATACTGTTTAAAGTTGGTATTGTAGATAACTCTTCACTCACACACATGTTGGGGAACCTAACCTGAGCTGAAATGACCACATCTTAAAACTGTATACGTTTTTATGGAGGAGGAGTGAGATGGAAGCAGAACAAGCGAACTAATGGCCTTTCTGTGTTTCTCTCTTTTCTGCTGGAATAGTTGTGTCTCTCTGTGGAGTCCTGTCAAAGGCCAGTGTTAATTAGAGTTTGTGATGCGCACAGCACTTCAAAAAGGGTCAAAACGAAGGTTGCACTTAATGATAATAATTTTTACATATTTGAACTAACACGTATTTTGCCTTTACAAATCTGACTTTTGCACTGCGCACAGCCTTAAATCTGAATTTCCATATTGATTCTGCTGCGCAAATGAGTTCCTGCAACAACTTAAGCATTTGGATGCAGCAGCTCGTGATGGAAAAGCAAGCACTAATAGAGGCCATAACTTGGACTGATAAGTAGAAAATATATTATAGAAAGAGAACGATTTTTGTTTATTTTTGTGAGCGACTCAAAGCTACATGAAATGCCAGCACAAACCAATATAATAGTAATCTGCTGCTTCCTAAAAGACAGACTGCTGACCCCAGCAGTAATGAGAGCACAATCTATAATCCCCATTATACAGTGCAAACACGGCTTTAGCAAATGACTATTTACCGTTATCCATTCGACTACTAGGCCTTCAATACTCTTGATTTGCAAATGAGTAAACTCGTTCAATATTATTCCTAAAACTGTCAATATGAGAAGCCATGTAATAATGACCTCTGGGTTTCTCTATTAGTAGCAAAGGGTAGCAGGGGGTGCAGGTTATTCTATTATCCCAGCAGGAAATTTGTCCTTCGCTTTTTAACCCATCCTTCAATGCCACTCGCACATGTCAGGAGCAGTGGTCACTACAGTGCAGCGCCTGTGAACCCATCTCCAGATGTTGATGCTCGGTTTAGTCAGGACTAGTGTGACATCTTATCTAGCATGTTTTTTTTGCATGTCGGGCGGAAACAGGCAAGGGGGAGTCGAACCCGTGGCGTTCTTGATGCATTCGAGAAGCATCATGGATACCTCATGCTCATGGATACCACTCCCAATAGGCTGCTTGTTTGCAAAGTTGTTGCTGTATGTGATTCGTATGTTCGTAATAAACTGAACTAATGAACAAAAGGTTTTCTCCAGTTTCCCGCTCATGGAGCCTGTCATCTCTTTCTGCTTCTCCTGCACTGGTCAGTCAAACTCCTGCGATCTACGAATGTTTAGATATTTTGAAAACCTTTGAGTTAAAACAAATTGAACACTTCCGGAGCAGGTATTTAGGGAGATGAATGCAATGGGTATGTTACAATTGTTTTACACCATTACCTCAATGTCAAAATGTTTAACTTCCTTTCACCTTTTGCAGTGAATCACCATCACGTCTGTAACTAATACCAGTTATTTGCGATTCTGGTGAAAATAGAAGCGCTGCAAATGCAAAAGAATATCATGTGGGTCTCTGGAAAAAGGATATAAAGGATCAAAATAAAGGATTGAAACACAGCTTGAAGCAGGACTCCCAAAGAAAATCTCCCTCAATGCCTTTAACACAACAATACAATATCATAGCTGCAGCATTAGCCACAATTCTCCGGGTGTTATGAGCTTGGTCATACTGAAATATTATGCTTCAGTAGAAAGAGTTGTAAGACACAAGTTGTACAAATCATGACAGATGAAAAGACACTGGAAACATCACCAAGTTCTGACATGCAAGATCGAAACAAGTTTACCACAGGGTCCACAACTTGTCATAACACTGGTAACACTGTCAGGGTGCCTTTAAGAGAGAAGATGTGTGAACAAGTGTGAAAAAAATAATGTGTGTTTTTGTTGCACTTCCTTTTAACACAGACATCTGCTTGAACAGCTCTCACAACTCTGTGGAAATCTCTGGGTAAAAGTCTGAGAAAATACTACAAGACAATGAAGATTTTAATCCTTTTGAGCTTTTGTAGTTTGGGTCTTTCTGATGAATTCTTTGATGAGGTAAACTATGATTCCATTCCATTAATATTTATGTGTATTGATGTGAACAATGTCAATAACGTACCCTTCAGTTATCACATACTGTTCAGTCTGGATGTGGATTGAATCATTTCTTCTCAATTTACTGAATGTGTAAATGTAAACTTGATACTACCGTGACAAGGCCAGCAGCTGCACGTGTTTGGCCGTTTTGGCAACTTGCACGTTTTGATGATTGCCAAAAAGATTAAGATTGAGAGATCCTTTATTAGTGCCACAGCGGGGATATTTGTGTGTTGCATCACTGATTACAGAACAGTAGATAAATAAACACTAACTTTATACAAAAAAAGAAAAATCCCTGACTTAAGAAAAATAAAGAAGAAAGGTAAAGAACTCGGTAAAGTGACAGCTAGTGGACACATGGGATTCTACATTGTACATTCATTTTGACATTATTAGTAATTATTGCATGGATGAGCAAAGTAAAGTGACAGTGGACACAAGTGCTACTACTACGATCAATATGGAAGTACCGCTGCCCATCCTGGTGCAGCTACGTGAAAAAATGGTGGTACTCTTGTAATGGTCGGCACTAGATCATATGCGGAATCGCTACAAAACCGAAAATCACTATTCAAATTAGTTTTAGACTAATAAGTCCTTAAATGGTGACTGGTAAAGTTTTAGGTGTCTGACTAAGATGGTTAAGGTTGGGGTTAAGGGTGGGTTGGTATTATTCTTTGCGAATGGCTGTTTAAGTTTAGGCATGAATATGTAGTTGGTTATATTTACGTACTTCCGCTTCCGTCTCAATTCCGTAAATGATCTAGCGCTTTCCCTCCTGTAATCTGGCGTTGACTTTGTTCCTTTTTTTCCACCAGGAAGAGACTTTCTTCAACACCGCCAATTTTCCAAACATCACATGGAAAGGGGAGGGCCAGTGGGAAGTGTGCAGTGTCAGTGCTCCCGGGTTCAAAGCCCTGGGACTCACGATTGCCTACATCATCATCTTCATCTTCAGTGTCTTCGGAAACGCTCTTGTTGTTTTTGTCGTCTCGTATATGAAGAGCGGTCGGACCAGCACGGACATCTACCTGATGAATCTCGCTATAGCTGATATCTTGTTTTCTCTGGCTCTTCCCTTCTGGGCAGTGTACGTTTACTCCGGTTGGATTTTCGGAACAGCTCTTTGCAAAATCCTCTCTGGTTTCCAAGAAGCCTCCGTGTACGGCGGCGTCTTCTTGTTAGCGTGCATTAGCATTGACCGCTACTTTGCTATAGTGCACGCTAAACGTAGCCTTTCGTCGCACAAGGTTCTCGTCAAAGTGGTTTGCGGAGTGGTGTGGGTGGTCGCTGGAATGCTAGCTTTACCTGTCGTCGTGCAGAGAGAAAGCATGTACCTGGAAAACATCGGTGAACATATCTGCTTCGAAAATGTAACCAGAGAAAGCAGTGATCGCTGGCGTGTTAGCATGTACATTCTGAGGCACACAGTTGGGTTTTTCCTCCCTCTGGCCATCATGTCCGTATGCTATGGTCGTACTATCCTCAAACTATATCACACTCGCAACCAGCACAAGCACAAAGCAATGAGATTTATCCTAGCCGTAGTTTTGTCTTTCATTGTGTGCTGGCTGCCTTTCAATGCGTCGGTTTTGATTGACATCTTGATTCGGGGCGGGTCTTTGCCTGTGGAGAGTTGCCAGACTTTGTACACTGTAGAAAAGATGTTGAATGTGCCGCAAGTGCTGGCTTTTACACACTGTATGGTCAATCCGATCCTTTATGCCTTTATCGGGCAGAAGTTTCGCAATCAGCTGCTCTCGGCGCTGAACAAACACGGGGTCATTAGTAAAAGGTTCCAGCAGACTCATCAGAAGAGCTCCGTCAACAGTGTGGGCAGCTTTAGATCCAGAAACACCTCAGTGACAGTGTGAAGACAGCCTCTGAGCACCGACTGATGGATGGATGAGAGATCAATACTGGGATAAATGTCTGTATGCACAACGATCACCGCTGGTCACAGGTCTTGTTGTTGTGTAAACATCTTTTGATTTTCTGCATTGTGCTGCTTTTGTTTTTCTTCAGCTTTGCTCTTAAATTGTTTTTTATTGTCATTGTTTTAAGCTATGAATATGTAATGTAGATGTTGTGTTTCTTTCCTCTCTCTGCATACGGGTTTCTGTGGATGATTTAAACACCAAATCAACTTTTTTTAACTCATGAACTGCATAAATATGTTAATTGTGGTGAGAATGGGCTCTATGCACGCATCACTTCCGCGTTTATAGCTAAAGCCCCACTTCACTTCCTGTTTGCGGGAAACGGCTTGAGTTTCACCGGAGTTCAGCAGTGGTTTACACGAGTTTCCCAAATAATGCTCAAACGGGAATTAAACTGTAGGACACTGGGCATTTTTGGGACACAGCAGTGCTCTTTGATCGTGCTGTCATTGTGTTTTTATAAAGTTTACAAATCTCTCTGAGTGGCCACAGTCAAAGCTCTACCTCAGAGAGAAAGCACAGCAACACTTTTGGGTCAGTCTCACAGCTGAATGTATCAATCTAATGACTAAAAAACGTCACTAAAACCCACCTAAAAGCCATAGGATAGCATAGTCAGGAAGTGAACGGGCTGGTCTTTGTTAACTAGAAATGACGTCACGCCTCCCCGTGCATATTGAGAATGAGGGGTCACGTGATAATTTGGGCGGGGTCTAATCCGGTCGGCCATGTTGATAGGATCCTCCATCGGTTGCCAGGGGCAACGCCACTAACGCTAACGCTCCAGAGGTCTTTAAATTGAGCACGTTTATTAGTTCGGCAGTAGATACATCTATGATTACATCTACGATTACATCTACGATTACAACACTAGCAAGACAGTTAATGGAGAAAGTGAAGGCGAAAGAAAATGGACCGTACAGGGAAAAGCTTCTACCCACGGCAAAACAACGTTATTTGGAGAAGCTCTCAGACATACAACAGGTAGACCCATACGAGCTTCCTGCAGCGGAGTGGCAAAAAGACCTAGACTGTATCCGAATGTCCACACTATACCCTATTCACTCACTCACTATATAGTTCGGGACTATATAGCTACTGAGTCAGTGAGTCACTAGCCTCAGAGACTTTTTGCCTCCGTGCACGTATATGGTAAGAGTCAATTACCTTGTTTTCGGTGTTAGTTATTACACAATGCAGGAGTTTAGAAGTCACAAGTCACTGGAGAGTTACGAGGCTTTCTGCTGTGGTTGGGTGCAGGACATGGCCATCTACAAGCCTCCAGGCGGTGAAAACACCGTTGTACTTGCAAAGGTAACATAAAGACATTTTAGGACGTACCCGAGTGAAAATGCAGAGAACACACTCTCATCGACTGGGGGGTGAGATCGAAAGTAAGGTCCTTTCTTCTTATTGCAGCCAACCAAGCCATCCGGCGTCTCTTCGTCAGGTCAGACACCTGCGCTCCCTGATGTTGTATCCATTTTGGTGGCCTAAAAAATTGTAAACCGTTGTTCCTACGTTTTCCTTTCTTATTGTGTGAGGTACTGGAGCAGTTTTTCACACAGCAATGAGCTCCAGGCATGGTAAAACAATGACCTCCTTTGCTACCGAGTTAACAACAACTGTTTGCCGCTGGGTGGGATCCTACCAACATGGCGGAGACGGGGAGGGGCTCTGTGCTATGACGTCAACTCCTCACTCTCAATAGCCCATTAGATGAAATCTCACGTTTGAGCCTAAAAACGTTTGTGTGGCGCCCTCTCAACCTTTTCGGTGGTACTACATTTGAATTGTGCCCTGGCCTCTCCATTGACTCTGTATTTTTGAGTGACGTCAGTTGAATTTGTGTGACGTGCGTCTGTCTGCGCCAGTGATATAAACCCATCCAACTCTCACACACGCCCCAGTATCAGGTTGGAGAGTGAGACCAGAGAGACCAGAGAGAGCAGAGAGAGGATGTAGGCTGTGAGACCAGACCAGCACGAGAGGACTTTAGGCTGTGAGACCAGAGAGAGACCAGAGAGAGGACTGTAGGCTGTGAGACCAGAGAGAGACCAGAGAGAGGACTGTAGGCTGTGAGACCAGAGAGAGACCAGAGAGAGGACTGTGAGACCAGAGAGAGGACTGTAGGCTGTGAGACCAGAGAGAGACCAGAGAGAGGACTGTGAGACCAGAGAGAGGACTGTAGGCTGTGAGACCAGAGAGAGACCAGAGAGAGGACTGTAGGCTGTGAGACCAGAGAGAGGACTGTAGGCTGTGAGACCAGAGAGAGGACTGTAGGCTGTGAGCTGCCTGTTCTGGAGGTTCTTTATGAATCCAGACTTTTAACCAAGCTCTTAAAATCATCAATGACTCTTCTTGTCACCCTGGAAAAGCCATGTTCCAGCTTCTTCCCTCGGGCAGAAGATATCGGTCGCTGAGATGCAAGAAATCTTGCTATGCTAACAGCTTCTTCCACAAGCTGTTGGGTGTCTAAACAGAGCACTTTAATTGTTGCTTTTACCTCTTGTATCAGCTTGTCAACTGTTTTATTCATGTTCTGTGTATGTGTATGTTTTATCACATTGTATTGTGCTCTTTATTCTGTTGGTGCACACAGAGTACTTTTATTGCAAATGTTTTCCGATGTGGTTTTTATACTGCACATGGCAAATAAAATAAAATGAATCTGAATCTGAGGTTTACAGGTAAATGCTGTTGTTTTTGTGCCACTTTGAAGCAGAGTAGATGTGAGCCCTGTGGAGGTGACCTGGGCAAGGCCGTACAGTTGCAGGTGTTAACATATATTGATGTGACTTGCGATAAAACACCTCCTATGGCTTCGACACATGTGCCTCTATGCATCCTGACGTGCTTTTGGAGAGACCTTGGACATGAACAAACTCCAACAACCGTGCTCTAAGCGCCATGTAAAGTCATTTAAGTGAAATGTCTCTGCAGAGGCCTGGACTATTCTCGGTGTGATGTGGAGGTTACATGATTTCTTTTCGGGTTTGAAATAAACTTTAGTTCTGCTGTTGGTCAAACATATACTGTATTTGCCTAACTGAATTATTACTACTACTGAGGGAAGGAAGAGTAAAGCCGACAGCAGTTGTCTCCATCCTTTTTTACACAGAGAGCTACAGTACTTTCCCGGGACGGTAAAGGCAGAGAGCTACTCCTTGAAGCGGCCCTTGGGAAATGTTTTTGATATATTGGAGTGAACAAGGCTGACATCAGGAATAGTCATTAGTTATCATCACATATTTGTTACTGGTGACAAAGTAAGTGCATGATAAATAATGATAATGAATAAATCAATGTGAAATATTCAGTATATTATTTGATTTGTTCATTTTTAAATCCTTTGGCGAGCCACCTGAAAGGGGGTGGCGAGCTACCGGTGGCTCCCGAGCTACAGGTTGGAGACCCCTGGCCTACAGCTTCTCAAAGCCTTTCTTTCAGTAAAAAAAAAAAGATTAATTACATATAAAGAAAACAATAAAGACTTTGCAATTAATCAATCAACATTTATTAACTGTGAATAGCACAATGTGTGAACAAGGCAAGTGCCGATGCTTTACAAGAGCAATGTAAAAACAATAAAGCCAAAGTTATGAGCCCAAAGCCGCCTGTGACCAAATGCGAGAGTGAGATAAACTGGCTGTAGTTCAAGGTCACTCAAACAAAACCGTTAAATACCTTTTCTATTTGCAAACTTCTAAAATAACAATATCCATTTCACTACAAAAACAATCCTAAATCAGACTTTGTTTCACATAACTGTGTTTGGCGTCTAATGATCACCACAAAACAAATGTGTTGTGGACATTTCACATCAGTGCTCTCGTTCAATTTAAAGTCATTTTTCCAGATTAACAGAATTTGGCTTTTGTAATCTTTCAAAATGCTCCCGGCGTGTCCAGCCTGCGCCGAGCCTCGGAGACGCAGCTTTCGCCTTGGTTTCGGTACACTCTATGGTTGCATGACTTTAATTACATTGTCTGTTTGGCACAAGAGTGTCACATCAATCTTATCTGCTCAGCTGCGTGTTGCAGCCCCGGCCTCAGAGCAAACATCTCCTCACGCACACCCTGCAGAAGCACCGGAGCCGCTTCTTTCATACAATATTTATGCTTCATTTCATCTTAGATAAAACATCCCAGGTTTCTTGTGTTTGTTGGTGGATTTCTTCTAATCTGGTCATGTTCTATTGACTTCAACTTGGTGTGGAAGATCTGCTTGCAATATGGAGGAATAAGAATTAAATCATGTAAATAAAAAATAAAAAACTCCATATTTTTAAAATGTAATAGTAATAAATGATGTATTGTCATGTCCACCATTGAACTAAATAAATAGTTTTTCACTAAATTTCACAAAAACTAAGTAATTGCACTTGCTAATTTCCTTTTCCCTCTGGATTCGACTCAAAAAGAAAATGCTCACGTTTCAATCGTTTCAACGTCAATATAAAACATTGTTCTATATGTACCCATGTAATATTTGAACAACTTTGCAGTGACATTTGCACTTTTGTGTTTTGTCATCTTTACCTCAGACATTTTCAAACTTATTTTAATAAAACTAGCTTTCGGGGGACGCAAGGTGAAATTCAAAATACTTCGATTTGTTTTCCTGGGTTTGCATAGCCACGCAGGGAGAGATAAGGAAAGGTGAAGCATTATTGATCTGCGTGTAATCCCCGGTTGAGCCACCACCATAAGTACTTATCCCATCAATAAACATACTCACTACTGTATGATCACCTGCACATATCACCCCAACACACATGTCACCGCATTATCAACTCCGTTCGCGCTTAAGCCGAGATTACACCAACTTTATCTTCCACAAAAGCTGCATGGCGGAGTGTGGAGGGAGTGATGGATGGCCTCCTCCGTGTTCCTATACTTGTTGTTCCGTTGCCGCAGACGTTGTTTAAAAAT